ATTTATCACTACTGGCATTACGGGTATATTATTTTATGTCAGTCACAGAAATGCAGATCTGAAACCTAAGAGGAAAATATCAGCAAATGTAATCTGGCACCTGAGAGAGACGTTTAAGTGCTGTCAGACACCAACACCAATTTCTCAGGCATTCTTGAGTCTTTTTTTTACCAACAGAACTGCAAGTGGAGAACTTTGTCTACCCCAGACACCAAGAAAAGCATTCTGAATTTAACTGAGTAGGAATATCTTTCCTCTGCAAGACAAAGCCTCCAGCTGAGCTCCAAGATCAAAGCGCATGAGACCTGCCAACTCTCAGCATCCACTGCACTACCTGCCATTAAAAGACATCCATAAAGCTCAAGTTACTGGTTGCCAGTCCTTTCTCTAAAGACTTGACTGTCCTAAAAAGCAGCAAGGACAGACTATGCCATAAAAGAAGGCAAGCAAGGAGCCCAGAGTCATAGCCAGGCAGGCAGTGGTGGCAACATCACCAGAAAAACAAAGCCAAGAAGTTGAGTCAGAGATTCAAGACTGGAATCTGGTCTGGACACAATAACCAGGATCAGACAAGATCAGCCAGGTCTGAGGGTAAGACAGTAAGTGAAGCCAGCAGGTGAGGATGAGAATGGGAATCAGGGAGGTACAAGACGGCACAAGTGCAATTGCAATGCTGCACCAGAGTAGCTCAGGCAAGGGCCAAGCACTGGAGCTTCAGGTTTAAAGCCAGATGAAGGAGATGGAGCCTACACTGAGGATCCTTAGCAGCAAGCAGTTCCTGGACAAGAGATCTCTCAGCAGCAAGCCAGCCTCTAACCAGCACCTGAAAAGGGCCATGATAGCTTGTCACTTCAAGCAAGCTCGACAGCTATAAAAACCAAATCCTGTATTTGAAAAAAAAAAAAGGGACAAGATGGGACAGCTACATCTAGGAGATGGTTTTGAGTGGAAAATACATCTCATCTAATACTTTGCACAGAAGTTCATGTAAATCACGAAGGGAATTTTAAACACGGTGCTTTGTCATTCACTTAACTTAGGCCCTACCATTTCATGCTGCTGGCTGTTGTGAACTCTATTCCTGTGAAAAATGATCCTTGTAAATTAATAAACCATGAACTTTAGCACCTACATTCAGACTGCTTCTGGCAGTTAAAACAGCCATGCCAATACTGAGTGCCTTTGAGTGATCCTAGATTTTACTACCTAAGTAAACTGGATGCACAAAAATATAAAGTTTAGTTAGAGTCTCCAGCATATACCAAGAGGTTAGAATCAATTTAGTTAAGTGATGAAGGGAAAAGGTCAGCAGTCAGCCATTCTTATTTGGATTTACTTTTGTCTTAAGTCTATGTCATCTTTAAAATTCAAGGATCTTAAAGAAATTAATATTATTAAATATTTTAAAGCTCTGTCAATATATTTCAATATTTTAAGTTCTCTAAAAGATATATTATAATGTTTGTAAGAAAAATTTGTATTCTCAAATCTGGATTTTACAGTCTGAACCTTGAAAGTTTAATTAAATGCTTGCTAAATTCTGTTTCTGGCACTGAAGTGAGGATTTTATTTCAAAATTCCTGATTTCTGGAAAAAGAAAGAATAAAGTGAAGTTTCATTTGGCATGTAATCAATCGAGTTCATCTCATTGTCCAATAAGTGAACATGATTACACAAGATGGTAAAAATCCTTGGTTTTTCTAAGTCATTAGGGTTTTATACTTGTTTTCTTTAAGTTAGAATTTGATCCTCACAGTGCAGAGATCCTCTTTGCCTCTTAGCATACTCTTTCTCATGTTTGAATATATGTTATAAAGACAGACAAATCTATTTCTGGCAACTACACAAGCTTCACAGGAAAACAGTTCTTTAACACTTCCATTAAACACTTTCCCTTCCATACCCATTCTGTACGTACAATGGGAGTCAATTGTCAATGAAATGCAAATCTCCTCAGATCAGTGGCCTACCTTACCAGGGCCTCTCCAGAAAGAAGTTTCCTGACCTATCTTTTTACCCTTCCTTGGAGGTCTGTAACAATTTCCTATAAATGTTTTACTATTTCTGTTAGCTACACTATGTGTTTGTCACATCAGCTCGCCCACACATGTAATTTTACTCAAAACACCATAACCTCTAACTAGAGCTCCACATCATTTCCCATTTCATCATTCAGACAAGCTTCTGAATTGTCTCTTTAGTAAATTCTATACTCTGGTAGTTTTACGCCACGTAACCAAGAGCCCAGTCATGTTTCTACTTTAAATGTTTACTGGTTTGTTTTGAAGCACCAATGCATGTTCCTCACATTTTTACATAGATTCTGTTCATAAAATAAAGTGAATTTCCTTTCCATCTGTATTATTCACTTCAGCAATTAAAAAAATTACTTATGCTTTAAAAGTTGGCTAATCTCTCTTCCATCTTTCACTACCTATCCTTTTGCTAAAACAACACATATAAAACTGAGTACTAAAACTGCAAGACTACTGCCCTGCTAATTTCTTATACAGATATGGCCTGTCAGTTCTAGATGACTTTGGATCAGCCCCAAATGAAAGAAAATATTCTGGGTAGTATAATCCTGCATGAAACAATGTGATCTGTATAAAAAATCACTTACTGAATCACCAGCAACTCTTTCCACTCCTAGGAGATCTCCCATCGAAGCAATGCCTGAATTAGTGCAGAGTGATTTGTGGCTTTCCAGCTGCCATTCATTAATTCTTAGGAAATACAATATACAATACAACAGTATTCAGCCTGGGGTTGTTCAGTGATGTCTTAGGAAGAGTGTAATTTGTCTGCTGAATGTCCTTTAAACTTATTTTCAAACAATAACTGTAGCCTATTATTTCTATGACCCCCCAAACACATTTCACTCTTGCTGAAATATTGTGTCGGTCACGCAGACCCATAAAGGGGGAAGGGAAAGGAATTGTGTCTGAGAAGTTTGGTTTAGGAAACAGCAGCTGAGTTGAAGACATAGACTTTTATTCCAGTGCTCTGCCATTCCTGTACCTTTGGCAGAAAGGAAAGCAAGAAAGGCAAACCTGACAGCAGGGACTAGAAGTGACCTGGGCACTCTGATCCACTGGCTTTAGCACTTTACCACACAGCTGACCTGTGATTTAGAAGGACCCCCTATTTTAGAAGGAGTATTGCTTTAGAAGGAGTTTTAATTCACTGCTAGCTGCCTTGGATTTTTGACCAGAGACAAGAGAGGACACTGAGGTGCAGGATCTGTTTGAGCATCTAAAAGCCTGGGGACCTTCTTTTACATGAGCCAAGGAGCTGCTTGCACAAAGCCAGTCAGAGAGACTGTGTAATGCCTGCTTCATCAAGGACTTTTGGCAAACCCTATGACAAGTTCAGCTCAGCCAAAACCACTTCACCTTTAGACATGTATTGTAGGAGACCTTGACAACAGAGGGAAGTTTTCTGGTGGGTCTCAGGCACCCCTGCCTTCCCAGAAATCTGAGAAGGTTGCATAGGAATTTCTTTTTAAGTCTTTTGCTCTCTTGAATTTGCATGTTAATTATCCTAAACTGCACAAAAAAAACCCCTAAGAGTTTGGGGCGCTTTTTTTAACATTTAGCTCTTACACAGCTTGCTTAAAAACTAAATAAAAAGATAGGAGCAAGAGTAAACATGAGACAAGAATCACTTACAACAAATGCTGGCATTAACAAAACATAGCCATTGTTCAGCGTTTAGTAGGCACCATGACAGCAATTATTTTAAGGAAGGATTTGAAAAACAATGCTTCAAGTATTTTTATGGTCAACTCCTCCCATGCTCAGGGGTTTTCATGCTTTTAGCTATTGCATCTGCAACTGAAGCTAACTGTGAAATTAGCAATTTATTTATCCCATGGTACATACACACACATTTGCAACAGTAAAAGTGAGTAAGGGTGAATAGTGAATGCTGTGAGTAAAAGCTAGAACCTTTCTTACCAGATTTTGTCATTCCCTATTGAACTGAATACCCGTGGATACCCATATTGAAACGTTCCTCGTTCCTTCTTGTGGCGTATACCACTAATATTGTTAACACAATTGTATCTAAATAACATCATATGACCTCTGTCAAAATAACAAGTCAGACAAAGGAAACTTCGACCTTCAAAATGACTGCCTGAATTGCAAAGAAACAGAAGACACCATTAAGTATAAAACAGAACAATAAAGGCCTACAATTTGTAAATAGCTTTTGATTCTGTAATGCTTAGTAAAAGTAGATCTCCTTAGGAAGGCATATGCATTTTAAGATATTTCTCAGGATTATATCTTTACAAAAACTACATTAGAACTTGCAGTCTTTTTTCTGCATTGTGTCCTATTTTGAAAAATGTATCAACATAACGGAAAAAAATCTCTTATGGAAATTAACTCTGATTATTTAGGCACAGATTTGAAAGCTGATTAAATAAGATATAAAGTTTCTGCTAATCTTACTTGGAAGGCATAACTGATAAACAAAAAAGAATAATGAAGGCACAGGAATAGTGACGAAATTATCTATTCTGTGTACATAACTACCAATATTTTAGATTTATCCATTTGAAATAAAAATGTAATTATGCATTATTCCATTTTATTTTTAGACACATCTATAAACTAGAAATTTAAATTTAGTGGAAAATAAACATACAGCTGTTCCTAAGAAAACAGGATATGGAATCTGAGATATCATTAAAAAAATATTTAACGTCCCTTCTTCATCTAATGTTAATGAAATGTAGTAATAATCACTGTTTCTTAGTGATTTTGTATGGAATTGAAGGTAATTAATAGATAAGGTTTGACATTTCCTAGTAAAAGCAACAGCAGTAATACCAGTAGACAATCTGATGTCTGAGCAATACTTTCCTAAAGTTTAGTGAGTGCCTTTTTGATCTTCTTAAGATTTCTTTAATGGCAGGATTTTTTAAAATTGCACATTGAATTAAAATAAGAATATTATTATTATATACATAAAAAGAGAAACCAAGTCACCTGTATGGCTGTGAGGATATTGGCTAAGGCCTGGCCATATGTGTCATGACAGTGAACAGCAAGAGCACTCAAAGGAATTTCTTTCATAACAGCTTCCAGCATTTTTTTCATACTTCCAGGCGTCCCCACACCAATTGTATCTCCCAGAGAGATTTCATAACAGCCCATACTGTACAGCCGCTTAGATACCTGATTAGAAACAGAAAAACACCAAGAGGTCAAGATGAAAGAGCATAAAATAAGGACAAGAATATACATTATATAGGACTTACTTCTGTACAGGTTTTAGGTTTTGACCCACTAAGGAGGATCTATTCATCAGACACCCCATATTCATTCTTGAAAACTGCCATTGAAGAACATCCCACAGACCCTCTTATTTTAAAATTATAGTTATGCTACATTCCGTGTGTGGAATAGCTAACCAAGTCAAATCCATCAAAAATTTGCTTTCTGACTCTCCCACAGAATCCAAATGAGCAAAATTTTAACATTATGAATTAAGTTTCTGTCAAGCCCTTTCCTAGCATTTTCTTCTCTCTGGGGATTTCCCAGTTGTTTAGTTTTGTCCATGTACTTTTCAGCTTACAAGTTGTGCAGGGTGAAGACCTGTCCTTTTGTTTGCATATTACATGAAGCCAACTGAGATAATAAATAATTAACAAAAAGGCCGATTTTTCTTTCTCTTGGCACTTAAAAAATCAATGAAAACTGAAATTTTAACATGTTGGAGTGAACATTAATTTTGCAATATTAATTTTTCTTGCTTTTCATGAAATCAAATACTAAAATACTAATGAAGCAAAACTGAAACTTTATTAACATTCTAGTCTTTAAGTTTTAAAAATTTTCTTAATATCAAACAAAACCATATACAATAGGTCTTACTTATGTAAACAGAGCCCTAAATATTTCTGGAATTATGTCTTTGAGGAGTTCTTTGCATGAGTGAAAACTGAGGTCTGGCTCCGTAATTTTTGCATGGAGAGAAACATATTCAGAAGCACAAAATCATGTTTTCACTGAAAATATTGCTTCAGGAATTGAATGCAGGATCTTTCCATCTTATTTTTGTTGGATTTATTTGGAAAGATTCCACCTTATTTTCAGCTGCTCAATATGTTTGTCCCCCTTTAGGATTCCCCACTGTGTATGAAAGATCCCAAAAGACCACTCCACCGGAACAGAATCCCAGCTTAGAAATGAACAGGTTAGAAATGAAAAAGTACAAGCCTTTTCCAAAAAGACATCTTAAGCCACACTGCAGTCTGCTGTTAAAACAATTCCAGGACTTCATCAGTGGGATTGCTGTGAGCATGTCTGAGGAAGTGGACAAAGTGCTGCACCAGCAGTCTCGGAAGTGCTGGATTAATATTGCTGTTCACTTAATTCAAAGAACAGCTGAAAAAGAACTTCAGATAATCTGAATCCTCCTGTTTGAGGCTTGGAAGTGCTATGGCTACTGCAAATGTGGTAAAACTGTGCTTTCAAGTCAGCTCATATACACATAAATTCAACACATATTTTAAGAAAGGGACATTCACTGTAATGCAAAAGGGATTCATCTCACAGCATATTTTTAAATCATCAACACATGGCAGGCATTTTAACTAGACTACTGTTGTAAGGGAAAAAAGGCTCATCTGCAATTAATGGTGGATTACATTCAGTCAAACCTCAAACCTTAGTGTTTCTTTAAGTTCTGGACAAAGAAATGTACTGCATTTTCCGCCCTGTTCTTTTTAATCCACGATTAAAAGTTTTTCTAGATGAATATTTTAGTTATAACTTTAGTGTAAACTGCTAGAAATCATATTGCAATCACTTCTTTTTCATGCTGAGTCCTTAGGTCTTTCAGCTTCCTGAATGCAGAGCTCTGAAAGATGGAAGAGGGTTAAACTGTTAACAAGCTGAGCACCATCACTGACTCATCATGATCTAAACTTAAAGTGATCCTTAAAAAGAGGTCTATATTTAATTTAAAGAAGAATAAGCATTCTTGGAAGCTGAATGGGAGATTTTTGTACTGAATTTTCTATTCTACCATATTAGAAGGAAGCTTGTCAGTTTTGTAAGTTTTCAATATGGATTTTTGGGAGCAGAGTGCGGGAGAAGAGAACACACTGTTTTTTCTATGTAATCAGGATGTGATTATGATCTTGAAGCTTTGTTGACTAAACAGGGATGTGTTCTGGACCACCACTGAGAAGTTTTGCCCACTGTAAGAGTCTTGTGCTACTCCCCTGGGGAATACTGAGTTGATACCAAGCATTGATCAGAATGGGAATTGGTGAACCAGCACTACAACCTCAGACATGTGAACAGTCCTACTCTTGGAAGTAATATCTGAAACTATACTCTTATATTGAATACAAAAGCTGACAATCCAGTTATAGATTATTTTAAGCAACAATCTAAAAAACCTGCAGTTCTTATGCTGTAAGGGAAACTTTAATGATCCAGCAATATTCAAACAAGAGTAGGTACATTTTCTATCATTTGATCAAAATGTGTCCTGGATAATATTTAATTTAATGAATTCGCTGCTTAAAGGTTAAAAGGAAGCTAAGGAAAGAAATAAGCAGACAAAAAGACAAAAACAGCCAAGCATATGATGTATTTATATAATAATGGATTATACAACTGGCTTCAAAGATGTTATACAGTGTTTCCAACAACTTCCAAGCTTTATCTGCCTGAAGTTGAAATTCTCAAGCCACAAAATGATAAATGGTTAAGCAGTGAATTCCTTTCAAGAATCAGCAGAGTAATAAGATTAGGCAGTTTATTTTAGGATATGAAAACTTTGTTTGTTTTAAATAAAGAACCATACAAATATACCTGACCAATTCCAGAAATCTGAAGGTTTCTGAATTTTGGACTCACTAGATAACTATGTGTAAAGCAGCTATGTATGTAGTCTGCAAGAAATTAATGTAGTCTGCAACAATCTGTAATAATGCATGCAGTCTGAAAAAATTCACCTCTTTCTAATTGCTTTTGCTTCAGTTGAAAAATCTTTTGCTTAAAAAAAAAAAAAATGGTCACTGTTACTGACCACAGGAGAAACTGCCTAAACCTTTCAATCATAGCTGCTGATTGCAATACACAGTCAAGGGAGTCAAAATGCACGCATCCCAAAAAGACGATGACCAGAGTAGCAGCTCTCTGAAAGAGCTTAGCAACTCAGCCAGTAATTTTGATAATGCTGATTCTGTGCATGTATTTACATAAAATCCATCAGAGGCTTCTGTATATACAGCAGTGTTTGCTAAATCAGGGATAGAATTAATACATTTAATGTGGTAGCTTTTATTCATGAACACATATACAGTGGCATACAGGTATGCAAGAAGACACTTATTAGGATGAAGATAGAAAATAAAATAGCTGTGTGAGTAAAAGTTTGCTGTTCTGGAACATTAAATAGCAATCCCACTGGCAAACTGAGAAAGCTCTTCTGTGCAAGGAGTCAGTAAAAAACAAGCAACACATGGAAAGAAGCCTGTTGGGAACATGGTAAGCAGCATGTCATCACTGCTTTAACTAAAGCTGTGTCATTTCTAACCTTCACTTCATATTAAAGCAAATAAATTTAGAAATACTGAGTACCTTCCAAATTAGTTTTGTTTGTTTGTTTTTTTGTTTATTTTGCCAAAGAGTCTGAGTATGTGTGGATGCTGTGGGAGAAGTATTATCAAAAACTCCATCTGGAATGTATACTAGAAGATGCAGGAGAACAGGACCTGAAAACCACCCACACAGAACATAATATATAAGACAAATGCTGACTAGCTGCCAGTGCTACAAATTAAAAAATAATGGTTTGGATGTTCTGCTAGATCAACAAAAATAGGTGATTAAGTGTAACAGAGAAGACAAGTCTGTCTCTAGGTGGAAGGCCAGCATGTTCTGCATTAAGTCTTTTAGAATTTTTACTCCACTTCGGTTTATTCCTGTCCATTTAATCTTTGATGACCTCTTTGCCTTCCTGCAAAACTTTATGCTTGTGTTTTAGTAATTTCTCTTCTGGAAAAAAGGCTGGACTAAGAGATCTTCTTTATCCTTTATTCTAAATGGGGAAAGGGGTAAGGGAGGGAAGCTGCAACTTATTCCATCATGGCACTAGAGCAATTTAAGAAATCATACTGGGGGTGAGTTTTTGTTCATGTGTCAATCACATGACCTTCACCAGAAGCACAATGACAACACAGTGTGCTTTTTCCAGCATAAAATGGATTTAAAAACAAGACGCTGTACTGGAAACCCTCTTGTACAACATAGTCCACTGACATATGTGCTTGATACTATTTCCTTAAGTAATTTCTTACCTTCTTGCTAGACAAAATAATGCATAATATTTTTCTACTGACTGATAACAATGAAAATATGGGGGTTTTTTTCTCACATTTGACTATGCATGTTTAAGTGAGGTTATGCACCAAGTTTTAGCATGAGCTAGGTATTTTGCTTGTTCTCCTTAAATTTTATGCACTAAAGATCTTTTTATGATTAAGTAGAGAAATTTACTTATAGACATTTCTAAATGTACTTTTGATTCATTAAAAAGACAAGCCAGAAATTCACTCTTACTTCTGCCACTTTATCTGGTACAACGTTTCCTTCATATGGGCATCCCAAGGCACAGGACACATACCTATAACAAAAAGAACACACAATGTTGTGTTTTATATATATATATATATATATATGCATGTATGTGTTTGTGTGTATTCATCCATGTCACATTAAAATATAGGTTAAATATAATTTTGAACATATAAAGCAGTCAACGTAGAATAAAGACTTGAATGAAAAGTTAAAATGACATCAGATGAAAATAGGTTTATCAATTTTCCTTTCAGATTACAGAACAGCAATGCATAGCTTCATTTACGCTCAATATATGTCACGAGTTGTAAAAGACTGGCAATGCAGCAAAGTTTATAATGTTGTAGGACACTCAGTTTTTCTTGGTATTTCCTTCTGAAGTTGCAAGAGCCAGTTAAAACTTTGCCCTCACAAGGTGTTCAGAGGAAGACATCACTTTCTTCCTTTAACCTACCCAGATCATAGTGAGCAACCATGGACACTTCTGACAACTTCAGACTACTTCTGACAACCCCACCATCTCATCAGAACTGTGGTAAATGAGAAAGTTTGCATGCTCTCTCTCTGTGCCCCAGAAGAATCATAGCTCCATTGCAAGCTGTAATTTAGGTATGCCTTGGGACCAGAAAAGACTGAGAAGCCAAACTGTGTCCCTCAGCAGCTATTGGCTCCACAAAGAACAGAAACTGAAAGCCACAATGAAACTTCTGTTGTTCAGTACTAATGCTCTATTAGCATAGAATTCAGTTTATTTCCTCTTTTGAACGACAATTAAGAGCCATGAAATTCTAATTAAATTTCTAATTGTTTATCTTAAATTGATCAGGAGTATGATTAAACTAACCAGAAACATCCAGTCAAATCAAAAGTGTGACTGTAAAAGGATTTACAACAGATTCAAAGGCCTGCAGAGCTCCAGTCCCAGTGGGAGATTGCTCAACTGCTTAATAGGAGAACAAGAGCCTTCATCGATCTCCCATCATTCCCTTTCGCTCAACACTGAAGGATATAATGTAAAATTATACACTGTATAATGCAAAAGGGATTGAACAGATGCCAGTTTGTATGTAGTCAAGGTCCGTGGGGTAAAGGATGTATTGTTTCTTTGCAGTTGAAGGAGAAACTGATTGATAGAATGTGAAATTAGGATCAGTAACAGGCAAAAACAAATAGCAAAAAAGTCCATATTTTAACGCATAGAGCATATTCTATCCCTTATATGAAGGCATAGTGCTGGCTCACTAGAAGTAAGAGTAAGAATGAAACAAGCCTTAAATCTAAAAAGAGCTTGATTAGCTCTGACAAAGAAATGGAAATGAATTTTATTTCCACAAAAGTGGTTGGGTCTATTACATTCTGCTCATAATTTTAATCCAGATGCCTACTAGGCATGATTTCAATTATCTATATGTCATTATGAAAACCAGGTTTTGAAACTTGACCACAGAATTCATTAACTATCAGCCCCAATTTAGATGTCATTGTTTAAATTCCAAAATTCTGAATTTTCATATCTACATTAAAGATAATAATGCAGCTACTGTTAACAGTTAAACACTGCCCTGATTTTAAGTGACACATAACTCAAAAGCAATTCAGGATAATTTCCTTAATTTTTTTAATGCATACAGTTTTTCAAATGAAACTAAGCATGAAGAACTTCAGACCCAAAGGATTGCTTTTTACATAATACTACAGTGCCTAGAGCCAGTGACTGCATACACCTACTGAAATTATTTTCAATATCAGCCACAGCACTTTTTACAAACTGATTAAGAACAGTACTAAATACTAAGTAAATGCAAAACATACAGAACATATGTGCATGTGTTCCCTTTACTTACATATCTTTACAGGTTCCTAATGGCGACATAAGTCAGATCAAGAAGACATGCATTTGGTAGTGATAATGTGGCATGAATGACATCTGGAATGGAGTAGGGCAAACGAAAGTAAAAGCAGGCCAAAAGGTATCTAGAGAACAACAGAATACTCCCTGTGGTTCACACCAGAGAGCAGAAATTTGCCTGAGCTCACATAATTCAGTTGTGCCTGCTGGGGTATGAAAGTATGCGGTGACCTGAGGAATTTGCCTACTACAATACACAAATCTGTTTGAGATTATGAACTCTCTGCATACTTACACCATTGCGACTAGACTGACGTTTTAAACAAGGAAAATATGGTACATATAATCTATCTGGGCATCTGATATTCAATATTAAACTGGAGAAAATAGGGATTACCGAAAGAATTTGACTGGAAAAGAACTTCCTACCATAGAGACAATAAAGTCCTATGGAGAATGGAAAAACAAATTTTCAGTAGAGTTCATCAAGAATGAGCTTGGCAGAATTTTATCTAATATTTTCACTTAATGAGTTGGAATAAAAAGTAGAGATGTGGTGATAACACTGATTTTGAAAGTGAAATACTTAAAATGCAGCTATAAAAGAGTAAAGTGCACTCCAGACATATATCAGGATAAGCGTTTTTAATAGAGGACATAAAATAGCGGACAGAATTACAAAAAAACTGAGCTGGAAGAGACTAACATTGAGTCCAACTCCCGGACCCTGCACAGGACCATCCCCAAGAGTCACCCCATGTTCCCAAGAGCTCTGTCCAAACACTTCTTGAACTCTGTCAGGCTGGTGCTGTGACTGCTGCCCTGGGGAGCTGTTCCAGTGCCCAAGCACCCTCTGGATGAAGAACCTTTTCCTGATATCCAACCTAAACCTCCCTTGGCACAACTTCAGGCCATTCCCTCAGGTTCTGTTACTGGTTACCAGACAGAAGAGATCAGGGTCTGTCCCATCTCTTCTCCTCACTAAGTAACTGCACTAAGGGCTCCCCTCAGTCTGTCTCCTCCAGGCTGAACAGACCAAGTGCTCTCAGCTGCTCCTCATATAGTTTCACCTAAGGCCCTTCACCATCTTTGTTTCCATTCTCTGAATGCTTATAAAGATCTTTCTTATAGTGTGGCACCCAAAACTGCACACAATATTCAAGGTGAGGCTGCCCCAGCTCAGAGCAGAGCAGGACAATCCCTTCCTTGGCTGACTGGCCATGCTGTGCCTGATGCCCCCAGGACAGGGTTGGCCTTCCTGGCTGCCAGGGCACTGCTGGCTCATAGTCAAACTTGCCATTTACCAGGAACCCCAGGTCACTTTCCATGGCATTGCTTTCCAGAATCTCATTCTCTAGTCTGTCCATACTGAGATGGATGGGTTGTCCCATCCCCAGTTCAGAATCTGGCACTTCCCTCCCTATGGCTGGTGATTGCCCAGCCCTTTCATTTGTCAATGTCTCTCTGCAGGGCCTCCCTGCTTTTGAGGGAGTTGACAGTTTGTCTTGGGGTAACTGTATAATTCATGTATCCCCAGATCATCTGTTCTGTTGGTGTTGAATATTGAATTCTGCAGCTTTAAGACTGGTTCCAGAGGTGAAGGGGGGGAAAGAAGTGCAATTTGTTATCAGAGACTGCACTGGCTCCCCCTCATTCCTGCTCACAGACTGTGTTGTCTGCAGTGAACAGCAGGAGAGAGCTCTCTTTTTGCTTTTGGTTAGTTTTTCTGGCTAGCTGAGGCAGAGGAGCTTCCTGGACTGTGGGGGTTTTTTGGTTGTTTTTTTCCCTTTTTCTTGGAACTATCTGAACCTGCTCCGAACTAAAAATTCAGAAGAGCACCGGGAGCTCACACCTGTGTCCCACCGGGCCTGGCCTGGGGCATTTCCCAGCGCTGGAGGGACTGAGAACAGCCTGAGTGAGCCGGGCTGCAACCCACGGAAGGGACTCTGCTGAATCTGTCATCTCTTCGTCAACTCTTCAGAGCAGTGAAGGGTTTTGCTGTTTAGTATTGTTCATTTGTGTGCTCAAAAGTGTTTTACCTGCTGAATAAATAGTTTTTCTTTTTCTACTTCTGTCCGAGGAAATATTTTTCCCCGAACCAACTAGGGGAGGGACTGCTTGAATCTGTTTCATAGAGGGACCCCATTCAGAGGTTTCCTCCCAAATTTGCCCTAAACCAGGACACAGCTCCTCATAGTTTTGTATCATTTGCAAACTTGCTTAGTATCCCTTCCAGTCCTGGGTCCAAGTCATTTATGAAGATGTTGAAAAACACAGGGCCTATGATAAAGCTCTCTGGAATTCCTTTTGAAAATATCTTGCTGTATTCTTATAGGAAATGAGACACAAGTTGAGACAGTTGCAGAAAACTACATGCAAGTTGGAACATACACAGGCAAGCACTGAGTACTGCTAGCTGGGGCACAGAGAGCCTGGCATGTGAAAGGAGAAAACATGCACGTTTGTGTGAAAGAGCGAAGAAAATCATGTATCTGGTCTGAGTATTTGTCAGGATATCTAGAATTAAGGCAGCGCTGAGTGGGATACTTTGTAACTGCATTTGTGTGTTTCCAAATCATTAAGTGGATGTGTGAAGAAATAGGTTTCAATACAAATGTAGATCTGTTATCTACAGATAAATTTGGCTGTTACATTTTTCTTTATTTTTGGGTATGAAAGAACCCATAGGGCATTAAAATCACAAGAGAATACAACCAAATCAGAGCCCCAAGACTTCCACCCATGTGACTCCAACGTGGGAAACAACTTTTAAGAACATTTTTCAGAACTGTTTGGAAAGAAAATTACCAAGACAGAGCCACAGAGAGCAACAGAAGACACAAGTTAAAGGAATAGTCTGGTCAACTGCAGCAAACACTACTGACAAATCAAGAAGAATGAGGATAGACTACTGTTTCCGAGATCTTGTCATCAGGGAGTTTGGTGAGAGTTGTTGCAGTTGCAAGCAAGGAACAGAAGCCAAAGTGTAGGAGTTATAGGAGGGAATCACAGAAGAGGGTCTCCAGACAGTAATTATAAACAGCGCCTTCAATGAGCTTAGGAATGAAGAAGAGATAGGCGATGAGATATGATATGAAGAACCAAGTAGGGTCAAAGGTGCAATTTTTAAGAGGCAAATGCTTGGTTATATTGCAAATGGAAAAGAGCCAGAGGACAGTGAGAGGTTAAGAAAGAGA